CCCCCCCCCCCTCCGACACACACACACACTCCTCTACCCCCTTTTTTAAAGATCTTGCATTATGTATTTGTTTTTCAAAATAATATTAGTTATCATTTCCTTGCCGATATTTTTATCTGCCTATTTTATCAAACTACCTTTCTTGTTGACTGCTGCATTAGATTAAATGCGAACCATCTCCTTTGATTTTATTATCATTTTGGCAAGGTCTCGTTGAGATAAAGTGAATAAAAATATTTATATATTCAAATTTAAATCTAGCATTAAATTCTCAATATTTATCAGGCATCAGGATTTTTTTTTTTTTTTTTTTGCAAAGATAGACTTTATATAAGCATTGAAAATTGGGGGTACCTTTTTTTAATTTGTCGGTTTAGCCCCCTCACCCCCCAACCCACATTCAATTTAGCCACTCTACTTTCACAATGCTTCCGATGCATATGTTATCAATATCTACATAAATATTTTTATCTAATTTCTACATATATTGATGCTAATATTAAAAGGTGTTGTATTTATAAAATACACTTGGGATAATGCATTTTAGTTACACTGCAAATTTTAATTGTAAGGAGCGAAATGCATTAGTGACGAACTCGCTATATCTACTTGCATATTCGACCTTGACCTTTCTGTAATAATTTTAAAAAAATGCTACCCACTTTCAGACAGTGTGAGTGCACTGTAATGCAGGATTACATAAATGTGATGAAAGTGATTTCTTGTTTGGAAATATTTGACAAACGGGAAACCACTGGACTAAGATCTTTCTGCAAAAGTATGTATAAAAGCGATAATACAAAATGCGAATTTCCTCGAATAATAGCAGACGACGTTTACATGTTGTAAACAGTAAAGGTGTCCTGACTCCAATCAGTTATTATTTAGGTATGAACCGATACAGTTTGATGTATTTACCTCGTAATAATCGTGTCTTGAATAGGTATTGTCTTTAAAATATTTTCTGTAAAAACTAAGATAACAACTTACAAACATCTAGGTTTCTGCAATCATTCTATCCATCTTACCTGTGATGCTAATCCTTTCCCATTCTATGTGTTTACAGTCACTGCATCCTCCACTTGAATTTTCAGCAAAGAATAATACGAGCTGACTTGTGTATTCCTCACTTATTGTGACTAAAGCGTTTGTTTAGTTTTGATTCTGTTACATGTCAATATTTCTCCTATTCTCCACATACGGTTGTAACGTACGTTAAAACGTCTCACTATTTACTTATTTGATATTCAGGCCTATCATGGTAGCCATTTTTTTTGGTTGACAACTGGATAAGTGTAGTGCATTGTGGGATACTAACCTGTGGTTAAATCACTTAACCTGTGGTTAGTTAACCAGAGGCTAATTTTATTTTGAGCAACAAATATTTGACCAGTGGTTAGTTGGCCAGTGGATATAGAATTTAACCAACGGCTAACTTATCCAGTGGACAAATTTAACCAGTGTTTTGAGCAACCCAATCCTGAAGGCTAAAACATAGCAACAACTTACTTGAAAAAAATTACAAACAACGTTTTTATGCAATATCCTTGCCACAAAACTATCGTTTGCGTTTTAAGTCTACATGACTTTTTATTTGACGTCATACTTTCGTCACTTAAACGGCTCGGGTATTTCCGATTTTGTCGGAAACTTCCGAAAAGTTCGGAATCTCGATCCCGATTCCTTTGGAAATAAAATAAAGCTGTGTAAAGGTTTTGATAGTCAATAACTGCGCTCGCCCCAACGGTCGCACCGTAGAACATATTAGGTTTTTAATTTTTTATGAAAACACAGATTTTACCAACGGCATGAATACGTTTATAGCGAGCGCAGCGAGCGTCGCGAAGCGACGCTCGTCACTGCGAGCTCTTAAAGCAACGCCTGTGCGAAGAGAAAATTCGGACTACTGCACATTCATTCGATGGAATTTTTTGACGCCGCAATTTCGACCCACAATGCAACTCTTGTTAAGTTACGTTCTCGCGAGAATCACGGCAAATGTTCAACAAAAAGTTTACTCGCCTTGATTTAATGGATATATATTGAATATAAATAGAAAACAAAACGTTCTTCCTTAACTTTCAGCACCGTTCAGGCTTTTTCTCGGAATATTGCGACTTACATACGTCATGTGACGTCAGAGTCTAGACGCACCAGATGTCACGTGCGGTTTGACGAGCCCGATCTAAATCAAAAGAAATAGAAGAGTTTGCGCTCGCCCTAACGGTCGCACCGTCAACATATTAGTCTTAACTTTCCTTTCATATTTTTTTTGAAAATAAAAATCATATAATATATTATTCACTTTTGATCACGATTACGCTAATGATTTACTCGAAACGACTTCAGCGATCGCGATTTTAGATCGGGCGTGGTGTACGGTATTTGAAGAAAAGAAGAAATGGCGCCCGATTTCTGTCGACTCTGAGGTAAGATTGGCTATAAAAGTTTACGGATATCAATATCAGTCATTTAAACATCACCTTAGGGTTTTATGTACCCCAAATCATTCAATTTTATGGGGCTTCTCTCACTTTATTGGAACTTCTACCCTTCTGTTTGGGTATTCTCCAAAAAACGGGGGCTTCTGGAATTTCCAGTTACCGTAGTATCAACATTGCTGTCCCACCAAATGGAGGATTTCTGATTTTTTTTGTGTGCACAGGGTAGGTACTTTTATGGAAATGTCAAAGCACCATGAAAAATCTTAGGAGCGAATACTTTTAGTCACAGATTTATTTTATTCATCTTCAATATAACGTATCAAGGAGGATGATCTACTTTCGATTCTCCATGTTTGATCTTATTTTTAAATGTCTTTGAATTTGATATACCACATTGCAGCAAAAATCGATACATAGTAGGGCTGCTGTTTAAAAAATCGTTAGAGTACGTCAATGCTGGATTGATATATTTATAATCATTTCAAACGGTAGGTGCTTTGGCGTGATACTAAAGGGAAAGCGAGAAACTTACGCAGTGTAACGTTATATGAAATATCCGTGAAGAAACTAAAAAAAATCAAGCTATATTTACTACATTTGTAATAACTTGTTTATAATTGGGTTCATAATATTGATATTTATAGAATTTAAAATTAAAATGATACAATGTTTTTATTACCGATTTGAAATTTAAATTATTTATACGTCACTGATCCATAAATTTTAGGAAATAACCGTCTTATCGCTTTAATATTGTAATTTTTGCAATATTTTTACGGGAAGACTTAAAGATTTCTTTAGCCATATTCCCCAAGCACCTTAACCATTGGGAGTAAGATTTTTCTTCAATGGCTGAATAAAAATTCATATTTCCAGCCGTGCATCACATTTTATATCAATATATGTACATCCGTAGGTGTACAAGCATTGCATGTTTATATATTGTCATTTTACAAACAGCGTGACAGTTTGCTTGATGTAGCGTGCTTAAATTTTGTGTGCTGGTTACCATTTTACTCATCGATTGGATCAATGAAATCAATACTAATTTACATATGAAACTCAGAATACAACAATACCCCAATAATACTGGCCAATTACATTGAATGATTGCATGTTTCCCAGTACGGCATTTGTAGTCAGGAGCAACACGTGGTCAGTCAAAGCCCGTTTTCTGTCCTCAAAAAGCATGTATTATATTTGTTGTGATTTGATGGGTTTTCAAATATGTAAACATGTATACAAATGTAAGAAAATTTAAAGAATGGAATTAGTAAGGCTACTCTGCTACTGTTGTACTATGTAGCTATCAATATCATTATATAGGAAGTAAAACTTGCTTTGTCCATTCACATGTAATTGTTGTTTATTCCATGCGATTAGTCAGTATTGTCAGAGGAATTGCTGGGTTCTGTGTTTCATATGCAAAGTAATATCGATTCCATTGAAATCAAACATCCAATCGATGAATAAAATGATAATCAGCATATGAAAATTTAGCACGCCCAATCAAGCAAACCATCACGCTGTTAGTAAAGCGATAATAGAATTTAGATTTACTTTATTTATGAAATTATAATGTACCGGGGTAATTTATAAATTATTTTTAGGTAACATATCACCCTGAGGTAAGGTTGGGTTACAATGGTTAATTTATTTTTTTAAATGATAATAAGGAGAAATCTATAGACTGAAAATCTTGGGATACAGATAATATGCAAAGCTATGATCAATCATATCCACAAGAATTGAAGAAAGATTTGATCAGATTGGTTTTAACTTGACCTTTGGGTAGGTTAGTACTTATGGCAGTCAAAGTGTTACTGTGTTACAAAGAAATTCAAATCCAGAGGAAGAATCTGTAAAAATCCTCTGTTTAGAAAAACCTATGATCATAGTACATGTTTTTCATGATTATATCGAGAATCTATAGGCAAGATTCAAATTCATTTAAATCATGTCAACACCCCTCCCCTCCTCGATTCTCTGGCTCTCTCCATCTCTCTCTCTCTCTTTGAGTAGGGTGGCTTCAGATTGTGCTGAATAGGTAATCAAATTTTATATAAGAAAACATTTTAAAGGTACTTGAACACAGATTTGAAGTTAATATTTTCTCTTTAATTGTCAATCAAACCCACCAAAAAATTTAAAGTTTTAATTACTTTTAAATGAAATAAAATTTTTAATTAATTTTGCGTGAAATGCTATTAAAATATATAATTCGTGATATTATACAGAAAATATTAACTTCAAATCTGTGTCCTTGTACCTTTAAAAATCTGTAAGAATCTTTTTCCCAGGATCGGCAAAGATATATTAAATCATATTTATATGGAAGCATCCTCACTTTTCAGATAGTAATAGATTCATTATTCAAGTTTGTTCAAATCATGACTTCAGGAGGTAGAACAGGGCTACAAAAGGTAAAAATAGAAGTTTTATATGGGAGTCAATAGCAACAAGAACTTGATGATGAAGAACAAGAAGGCCCTAGTTATATGTTAGGTGAGAGACTGAGAATTAATTATAGCCATATGTTGTATTATAACTCTGCCTATTGCATTTGTTTCAGAACATCATGAATTTGACTGAATATGCCATCACCAATAGCAACCAGTGCAGGTATCATCATGTCCATGTAAGTGAGTGGGATTTAGCAGTTGAGTTGGAATATAGCTGGTCACCAAATGCTTAGAATACAGTAATCTAGTTGTCATGTGTATCATGGAAACAGCACACTTCACTTTTGCACCAATTTTAATTATAATATAATATATGTAATGTTTATATATGCATTATGTAGTCACAAGACAAATATGAGTGAAAAATAGATTCATTTACATGTACATGTTTAACAAATATAATTTATGAATATGCATGAAACACAATTCTGTAACAATTATTAAAATTAAAAATTAGTCTTTCTTTTTAAGTTCTTAGTGCTTTCACTATGTTCATTGTATAAATATTTTCAGGCATTGGTGGAAATTAGTATCAATATGGTAAAAATTTTAAAATTTGCACACAAATTGCAGGGTTTGACATTTGCATTAATTAGTCTCTTAATCTCAGGCTAATACAGACCTTTTCGGTAAAGTTACTTAATATTTAAAATGTCTAATAAAGCTTTTTTTGTTGGAACCAGTGTTATATGGTTTGGACAGGTTTTACTGTACATTTTTATTCAGACTAAGAAAAAATGTATTAGTCTGAACAAACCAATAAAAGTTCCTGGTAAACACTGTGATTAAATTTCTGAGGTTTAATTATATTCACAATTTTAATTTAACAGGAAAACCAGAATGTATTTTTGTTTTGCTTTCTAGCTTCTTGGGGGAATAATTAGGCAATTCTGAGTTAGTTCAGTATTTAACTGTGTGCATAATTTTTTTCTCTAACTTAAAAACATACTACCGTATAATCCCTATTAACCGCCCCGGGCGCTTATAAAATTGCATAAAGGGAGCATTTTTTTTTTGTATTGTCTTTATGATATTCAATGTAAAAGTCAAATTTTAACTTCAAGATATCTTTTGAAAAAAAAATACATACAAAGAACTGCTAAATTAATGTCTCACTTTACTTAAAGTGAAGACAATCCACCCAAATTATGTTAATTATTCATTTTCTAATGAGAAATAGGATAATAGACGTTTCATTTTCACTTTCTTCATTTTTATGCCCACGTAAATGAAGTTTCGGGGGCATATAGTTTTTGTCGTGTCTGTCTGTCTGTCTGTCCGTCTGTTTGTAATGTCTGTTTGTCCGCAAAAACTTTAACCTTGCCCATAACTTTTGATTTAGTTGAGCTATGACTTCATATTTCATATGTATATTTCTTGTGACAAGACCTTTTTCTGGGTACCACCAAATTTGACCTTTTGACATTGACCTTGGAGTTTGACCCTTTTTTACATGAAAATTTTTGACTTTTACTTTGGCCATATCTTTTGAACAGTAAACACCAGGACATTCATACTTCACATATATAATGTTTGTTAAAAGACCTTTCACTGGATAACAACAACTTTGACCCTTTGACCTTGTAGATTTCCTTACTTGTGAAAAAACTTTAACCTTGGCCATAGCTTTTGAACGGTAAGGGATTAGGCTTTCATACTTCATACATGTAATCCTTGTGAGAAAACCCTTCATTGGATACCAAGAACTTTGACCCTTTGACCTTGACCTTTGAGATTGACCTACTTTAAAAAAGCAAACCTTGACCATAACTTTTAAAGAGTTAGGGCTAGTGCTTTCATACTTTACATATTTGATCATTATGACAAGACCTTTCATTTGATAACAATAGCTTTAACCCTTTGACCTTGGAGTTTGACCTACTTTTTAAGAAATTAAACATTGACCATACCTTCTGAATGGTTAGGGCTAGGGCTTTCATGCTCTACAAAAGTATTTTATGTGGCAAGACCTTTCATTTGATACTAATTACATTGACCTCTTGACCTTGAAGATTTTTGTAATTATTAAAAAACTTTAACAGCTTACTTTCAAATTTCACAATTGATTTCCAGTGAGAATACCCTACTTTTGGTACCAATTAAATTTGCATTTAAGAAAAGCTTAATCTTTGCTATGTTGCCATATGGGGGCATCAGTGTTTAACAAACACATCTTGTTTGATACTATTCTTGATGATTTTAATCACTGTACAGGGGGCCCTTATTTTCTGACAATTGAAAAAGACCTAAGGGGGGTGCTTATAGGGGCAGTTAATAGGGATTATACGGTATGTCTTGTGTCATTGTAACAGTAAAGAAGCAATAGTATGGCTAGACTAATACCCTGAAAACTTAGTGTTAAACCCTGATTTGTTAAAAATGCTTGGTAATTATCTTAGGAATATTAGCTAGATTGAATCTTATTAATTCTCTTCATTAGTTTACATTGCTGAGTTGCTTATTATAACACTTTCTTTAGATTGAAGATGATTATGTAATTGCTTATTTTAGCAGATCTGTTAGCATAGACACTTGGGTACATATGTGGTGATTTTGGCAATTCCAATTGTTTTCTATACCAACTGTATAATTTTTTTTTCCTTTACACATGGATTTTGGGACCATGATCCTCTTTTAAACATTCATATATACTGTAAAGCAACTTTTATTTCCGATGACTTTATTTCGCAATTTACTGAAGTAAAACTAGTTCGCTACGATTAATTTATTTTGCAATCAAACTTTTTTGAATCTGTTTTTAATAGAAACAGACTTTAAAGACTGGTTCACGGTGAGAAATATTTGTGATGATGAGGCTATAGCGAACTTCAAGATAATTTCTAGCATGCAAATAAAAGTTGGTTTACGGTATCCATCAAGGTATAATTATTTCTCAATGAGCTGTTACTGCATAGTCAAATTTTAGCAGATACATGTGTATTTATATCTCATTTCAGAATATTATTTGGCGGTGTAATATACAAGAATATTGGCCCAGCTGACAAATCAGAAGCCGATCTCAAAATTCCCAGAAGCCCAAGTAAAACTAGTCTGGAAGACATGAATGAGTACATAAAATTCATGGTTCAAAAAGAGCTGCAAAAATCCCAGAATAAAAACCCACAGACAAGCGAGGTGCAGCAATATAAACAGGGAGAAGTACAAACAGTTGTAACACCTGAAATGTTGAACAACATTATAAGTAGTAGTATACAGAGGGCCATGGAAAAATACAGCGAACAGATGCAAGAGATGCAAGATAGATTAGATTCCAAATTAGAGAATCATCTCCATAAAATGGAGGAAAAAATTATGAAAAGATTAGAGGAAAAAACAACACATGAGGACAACTCTGAAGACAAAAGTGGGGATAGATTTGTGTCTGGTCCTGAAAATGCCATTGATGAAAGACTGCAGAGAATTGAAAAACTGTTACAAAAGGGAAAATCGGAGAGCTTCAACTTTTCTCATTATGTGGAAGTTGCGAGTACCATAATTTCATCTGTAACTGTGACTTTAGTTAATATAACTAATAATTCCTTCATATTTCTTTCCAATACTTCAAATTGGTCAACTTTAAAAAAGCCTATTTTTCATGGTGAGTAACTTCAATAGTGTGCACACCTTTGGACTTAACTGTTGGGTCAATACCATATTTTTGAGTACCTCTTTATTTTTCAAATTAATGGAGCTGATCAGGCTTAATTAATAAAGCCAATTCCCCATTAATTTGTTGAACAGTATATTTCTTACTTTGGCATGAGCTGCTCTTTTCTGCTTATAAATGGATTCCTGTTCAATGACATACTGATCACTAAATTTTTGCGACACTTTATTTTCATGAGATAGTTATTCACTCTTGATTTAGTTCAGGAATTGTGGTTATTGCCCTATATAATCCTAAGGAATACTATTATATGTGAGAATTAAAATTTCATGAGCACACTGTCTTGCGTATTTACGCAAAAATAAAGTTCTCACGGATAAAGAGTGATTTACAGTAATTGAAGATAGAATTTATTATTATTTGTTTTTTTTTAAAATCAAATTCAGATAAAATATTATACTTTTATTTCCAGGCTATTTCAATGACATATCAAATCATTCCATTGTTGCCTCCACAGTGGCTGTCATTTTTTCAATTGCTTTGGATATTTGTTGTTGTTACTGTGTGTGTCGAGTCTGCTCTAGATGTTACAAGAAAACCAAACCAAACACAAATAATGACAGAGGACAAAAACCAGCCCCAAAATCCGTATCCACTTCATTAGATTCAGATATAGAGGTTTGTTATGTAAAGTATAAATTCTTCTTTTGTTTTTGGTTTGCATTTACTTTTTATTAAAATATTCATATTTTTATTATATGTCCTAAATTGATGATCATATCCATCCGTCTGTTAGATTCTTGTGTCCAGTCCATATAAACTTGAATAGGCCAGGGCAGGGCTGTATTGATCATGTAGTGAAAATGCATTAATTCTTTTAAAATCTTCTTCTCTGGTCCTGGGTTTACATCGGCCTGTGGGTTTGCAATGATGCTGGGTGTAATTCAGATGATCTAAGTACATAGTAATGATGAGGAAATTAAGATCCCTCTTCCAGATGATGAATTTAATGACCCCTGGGTCAGCCTTGGGTACCATTCGGGGGGGGGGGGGGAGCTCTTATCATCATATACATGTACCCAAAATTAATTTATTTTTTGAAATCCACTCTTTGATATAAATCAACAATTCTTGATGAGCAAGGGTGACTTTTCAAAAATTGTTAAATATGTGACCCCAGGGTCAGGGGTTATTGTGGGGTGGTACAGTACTGATTATCTGGTGGAATTTTTTCTGTTGGCATTTTTTCTTTGTTCCTCTGATCTGCCAGTGGTGCCTCTTTCAAAATTGTGCATTTCATGGCCTCTGGTTTATTACACAGACCTTATTCAATTGTTGGAAAGTTGCTTCATGATACTCAGGTGGAAGTCTAAGGTCTGTGGGCCTCTTGTTATGATTTATATTTGTTCAAATTATTAAAAAATATCAAATATTGATCTCATTCCCCAAAGCATTTGTTGAAAAACAGGTTAATACAATTGAATGTTAATCTGAACTTTTTGAAAAAGCTTCTAGCAAAAATCCATGCTCACCTAGAAATGGGTATATGGAAATTCCCCTCAAATAACCCTTTATAATTAAGGATGACAATCTGATAATTTCTTGTATGGTAACAAAACTAACCATAGCTGTAGATTTTTCTAACCATAAGTAATCAATTAATCGAGTTGATACTTTTATTTTCCTTAATGTATTTTTTCAGAGATATCGACAAAAATTAGAAAATTCACTGTGCATAGTAAGTTTTTCCAAAGATAATGTGGAATCCTGCCACATGCCACTGATGAAATCTTTAATGGAATGCTTGATGGATGTAAACCTACAAACCAAGCGTGTTGTCATTAGAGAACCCAATAATCTCAACAGCATTCCTCCCTCTAAGGTACTTTAATGACAAACCATTAGCATGAAGAATTTGTAGGAAAATTATTTATAACTGCTTTCAATTAATATGATGCTTTAAAATGTTAACAGTGATGATTTTTTGTTTTGTTTTCAAACTGTTACTACTGTTTTGCAATAACAATTTTTCATCTCACCTGAGATAAAAGCCCACGTGAGCTTGATTAAAGCTCAACTGAGCTTTTATGATCACCTTTTGTCCTGTCTCTTTATTATTAGCTAGTTGAATGTTAATGAAACATACTTTTGAAATTTATGTCTCTATGAACGTGTGTTGATAATTTCTTTTACACTATCTTTTGTTTTAATAGATATTTTTAGTGATTGTTGACTTCAATGAAAAGAATGAAATACTGGAACCACACCAGCCAAAAAGTAGTAAACTTTGCATCAAAAGAGAAACAGTTAGAAGCCTAATGGATAGTTTTGGTAAAAAAAATTTAACTCCCATGCTTTTCATAAAAATTCAGTAAGACCTCAAAAATTTAGAAGGCAGCTGGCACATTTAAGTGCCAAAGCAAAATCTTAAGAACTACGTCCATTTTAACAGGCATCAATTTCATAAACTGGTTTTTAATAGCAGCTAATATTCCAGAAGATTCTTTATCAATTTGATCAAGTAAAACAAACTGAAACTCAAAGAAAGTCATATTCTCTGCCAATCTCTGTAGTTTTTATAACAATTGTCTTCATACATGGATGAACTAAAAAAAATTAACATCATGCATTTAGATCCAAACACTTGACAGCTGTTTGAATTTTTTTTTTAAATGTTTGAAAAAGTGGCTATGGTGTCTTAATAAATTCGTCAAAAATTAGATCCATACTGAGGTAAATGGTGAAAATATGTAAAATAATGTTCTCATGAAAGTTTTCATGAATATTGTATTAAATCCACATTTCGTATATAAGACAATATTTTAATACCAAACTTCTTTGTGTTATATGGTTAAGTGCTGGATAGAGTAGTTAAGACATTCTTACCATGCTTACATACATGTACATTGATAAAAGAGATTGACTTTTCCTACTTCATGTTATTATAACTACCTATAAAGGTTGCAGTGAATCCCAATGAATTAAAGTAATGATTATACTACTGCTTTGTTTGATTTTGAAGTACATGTATTTATATTTGATCATGTTGATATAACCTTCTCAATTTAATTATATTATGTTCTGTATATTTAATATTCATTAACATGATATAATAGTTAAATAAACATAATAATTTACTTTTCCATATCACCCTATATTAGCCTTTGTAAGTCAGGAAATTTTAAGAATGTGGGCAAAAGAAAAATTATGATTGTTTCATATCTGACAAATCTCTATTAAACTATCTTCATTTCTTTTGCAGCTCTTGTTATTCTTGTATACTGCCTGGAGGCCTCTTCAAAAAAGCTGGACTTGGGTGATCGATTTGCACATAAGTTAAATAAAATGGTGATTTCTGTGAAGGAATTACAGGAGTTGGACAATAAGCAATGTTTTTACAGCGTATATAAGGAATTTCATAGTTTCCAATTAGCAAATCTCCGCCAGACTATTAGAGAATATTTAAAAACATTTTAGGATTATGTTTGCAAGTGAGTTAAGGCTTACTTTAGACGTTCGATCCTGATATTTAAAGTCTTAAACTTTTTTTGGCAAGAAATTTTTAGTTTCTACATACATAGCTTAAATAAAATTCAAATCAAAAAATGGGGGTAAATAAGCTTCTTTTGGCGCTACAGTACATTTAATATGACCTTTTTGCACTGAAATTTGTGTCTTAATTAAAAATTATATTTTTGATGTTTAATTTCCCTCCAATGTTTTTATCCAACTAAAGCATGAAACTAAATAAACTCTCAGTTTTATTTTCAAAAAGACACTTAAAAATTGTGACGAAGAAAAAGTTTTTAATTGCTTTGCATAATCAATTATTTGACCTTTCTGCACTAATAAAAAGTGATTTTTCTGGCATTGAAAATTTAATGAGCAAGAAAATTATTTTAAAGTCTGAAACTTTTTCTGATTTTAAGCAAATAGGCCAATTTTATCATGAATATTTAGAAAACAACTTCAAAAGTGGGGGTATATGATTTAAATTTTCAAATATTACTAAAAAAGTGTCAAATTTGCGTTAAAATTGGCTCAATTTTTCCCCGGATTTTCAGAATATATTTACTATATTTGTCACATTTTGTTGATAGAATTCATAAGAAATATTTTAATAGATATTTCAGAACCAGCATAACACATTTAACTGCAAAAAACAGCTTTTTGTGCAACCAGAAAGGAAAAATAGGAATCCAAAATATTAACAGTACTGTTATAGTTCAAAATGGAAAAACTGATCATTTTCGTCTTAAAACCTTCCGCCACAAAATATAGTCCCTATCTTAATTCTACTTGAATGCAATTTAATCGCTGTTTTTTCATTGAATATCGTTAAATTTGCACTGTAGAATTCATATTTAATGTTAGAACTTAAAAAAAGGATGCAGAATTTTATAAATAAAGGACCCGATCAAATTACGCTCAAAATCTCAGGATCGAACGTCCTTAAATATTTCTTTCTGTATGATTATGCTCTCTTTTTCACCTCTCTCAACCCCCTCTCTTATCCCCCCCCCCTCACCTCCCCCTCTCTCAAATGCCACTTTGCCTATTGCACAGAAAAAGTTAAGATTTGTTTTCCTATACAAACATAGTACTCACGAAATGTTCTTAAAATCATAAAATATTATTTATTTAAGATAAAACAGGATATGCCTTTGCGCCGACATTGAATTGTTTGTACGTGTTTTATCCTTGAATGGAAAACATCAATGTCATAATATGACGTCATAATGTGCACTTGCTTTAACATGCTGTAGGTGCATGTAAGTTATGTATAAGAAAATATATTTAAATATTTGAATTTTCTCTTTATATAGAGTACACTACTTTTGATTTTGATTAGCCAATTTACAAAGAAACGCCTAAACCTAGCCTTAACTCACTTGCGTTCATATGACTTGTAAAATGATTAATTAATGTAAAAAGAATCTCAAAACTCAGGATTAGATAACTGATTATTGGAAGGCAGCATTCTAAGTACATAATATGTTAGTATATATTCTGAAAATTACATTTATTTTATTAAATAGATAAAAAACTGATTCAGAGTGTTTGAAATCATGATATTTGATATCCTGTAAATAATGCCTTTGAAGGTAGCATTTGAAAATCAGGCGCGGATCCAGGATTTGGAGTTAGGGGGGGGGGCGCCAAAATTAGGCAAGGGGTCTGGGGTCCTGGATTCTAGAGATTTTGAAGGGTTAAAATGAGGTCTACCAAAGCCCTGGTGGGGGCCCAGGGGGCGAAGCTCCTGGATTCTAGAGATTTTGAAGGGTAAAAATGAGTTCTACCAAGTAGACATAATTGATTTACGCTAACTTTGGCAATTTTAGGGGGGGGGGGGGGGGCGCGGGGGCGCCCCCCTTAAATCCACCACTGAAAATGACACCCCAAGTATCCGTGAATGTGTCTGAGGATGACTGGTTTTCTGAGAAATGTCAATTACAATCTCCAAAACTGCACTTTTTTCATAATACTTAATATGACTGATATATTGTGTACGATTTCCAAAAAAAAAATTGTACATGTTTTACATCATTTTTGGCATTAATATTATACCCCCCCCCCTGCTTCAAAAGTGGAAGGGTATATAGTAATTAAGATGTCCGTCCGTCTAGCTAGACATCTGTCCATTTGTTACGCTTTGGGGTACCCATCTCTTATCTGCAACTCCTCTTATACCACAGAATGGAATTTGATGAGACTTTCACAGATTTTTTACAAGATGCGTTTGTGAGACAAGTTATGTGCCTGGCGGCAACAAAATTCGAAAAAAGCTATTTTTAGCATATAGGTCACTGTCAAGGTCACGGTCATTGACATTGTATCATTTCAAAGAACTTGAGTAGTGAAGTATGCATATCAAAAAATATGTCTCTCATGGTTCAAAAGTTATGGTGAAGGTTCAAAAAAGCTATTTCTATCATATAGGTCACAGTCAAGGTCACAAGGTCATTTGAAAGATATTCATTAGTGGAGTTTGCATACCAAATTAATGAAGTGTCTAACTTTCTTGTAATTTAAAAGTTATGGCTAAGGATAAAGTTTGAAGAGCATATAGGTCACAGTAAATGTTACAAGGTCATTGACATTGATATTATTGGAAAGAGCTTACGTAATGAGTAGAGTACGGATACCAAATATGAAGTCTCTATATTGAATGGTAAAAAGTTACGGCGAAGGTTAAAGATTGTAGAAAAAAAGCTATTTTTGCATATAGGTCACAGTCAAGGTCACAAGGTCATTGATCTTAGTGTCCTTTCAAGGAGCTTCATTAGTGGAGTATGCATACCAAATATGAAGTCTCTATTTGTAATGGTGAAGAAGTTACGGCGAAGGGTACCGGTAAAGTTTGCAGATAAACGGACAGACAAGAAAAAACGATATACACCGGGATCGATAGATTCGGGTGCATAATTACATGTCGATTGCCATTGTGCACTACATAAGAATTGCCATTGTGACCTGCTATTTTACTTTTTGATCCGACACATATTTTGGGTTTCTGATAGCAAAACAAGAACACTGCCATTGTATTCACATAGGCGTCGGAACCGGGGGGGGGGGGGGGGGGGCTAGGGGGGAGCTTAGCCCTCCCCCCACTTTTTCCCCAAATATATACTTAGTATAGACTTAGCCCCCTCACTTTTTTTTCCAAAGATATAGGTACTCAGTATAGACATTGAACATTGCTTCGTAGGTTTAGCCCCCCCCCCCCCCCCCACTTTCCACAGCTTGCTTGTCAGGTTTTTTCAGAAGGTTTAAAAATTTTTTTTTACACATAGCCCCCCCCCCCCCCCTACTTTCAATTTGCTTCCGACGCCAATGATTCATATCGTAAGGATGGAAGGGGGGTATTATGTAGTGAGCTCATTGTTCACAGTACCTCTAGTTTAATTCATTATTTTCTTTAGTGTGTTAACATTTGAACTTTTAATGTTTTTTAATCTCTCTCCTGGAATTGGCGAATCAATATCAGCCAATTTTGGCTTATGGCATAAATGTGTGAGAGGAACGAAGTTTGTTAATTTTAGGGCTCACCACCCCTGGGTCTTAAGGGGTGAGGTTTAAATCATCAGAATTACCGCAATCATTGATAATCTTCCGTTGGAAATCAAGTGGAAAAACCATTGGTCTGAGTGTCAAAGTATTGATCCCACTGATTTAACAAAATTGTAAAATCTATTGGTATATACACTGTCTAATATACCAATATGCAACTAAATTGATCTACTTTCATGCTTTGTTATGGAGTATGTCACTCACTGTAGACATTGATTGATCAGGGTTGATCCCTGATATTATTTGTTTTTGTTTTGGGCAGTAATGATACATTGAATTCTAAGAACTTAATTTCTTTTGCTTAATTAAAAACTTCTATGGGACTTTTATGGTGTTTAATTATATTCAGGTGAGTATTAAAGACCTTAGGCCTCTTGTCAAGTTGCAGGCTGCTCTCCGTTTGCAAGTTGTGGCATCTTCATATGAAAGTTAACTGTGTCAGATATCATAGATCATGACTTGAAGATGTGTGCATGAACATTTTTTTCCGTCGTCAATACTTCCGGTCGTCACAGAAAAGGGAATAAAAATCTCGAGAAGGATGTTAAACAACATGCTAACAAACAATCATACAGGAGCAAAAGAGGTTTCCAAAGGAATATTGAATATTCATTTTTAAATCAACAGAGTCCCAATGCAACCTAATTTTCAAGAACCCTGGACCTAAGGGTCATGAAATTCTTAATTTATATAAAGGCACATTTGCCCATTATGGGATGGACAATACTATACTTGCTTCAGATGCTGGATCTGGCCTACATTATCCGAGTGACCAGGTTAAAGTTTTTGGAGCAGGTCCATTTTCAAGTGTTTATAAGCTCTTAATGTACCCAGACCAAACTAGCATGGATGATGCCTTTCGGGGTGGATACAAGTATTTTAGCTTCTGATGCTGGATTTGGCCTATACGTTTGAATAACTAGTGTAATGTTTTTCGTATTGCTCTTTAATTTTAAGGACTGTTATGATTTTACTTGCATGAATGATGCATCTAATGATGGACAATGTAGACTTCGGATGCTGGATCTGATCTACATTTTCCAAAACTTTAAGACCTAGTTAAACAGAACATGCATGATTTTTTTTTTCAGGATAAATATCAACTATTAAGAAAATATGATGTGAGATTTGCATTACTCAAGTTGATAACATTCTTCAAGATGAGCTTTGTTATCTTTAATTACCTATGTTTTAATTGCATGGCTATATTGCCATTATTTTGCAGTATATGCAAATGATATTAATATTTGTCGTAAAAAGAAAGTTGAAAACCACCTGACACGTGGTTTATAAATAGACTCGTCTTTATTTCAAACGTGAAATTGTGGATTGAAAATTTAATCTAAAAAAAAAACATTTCTTTAAAATTATGAATTTATCAATATGTATGAATGCACTTAAACAGTAAATTGCATTTGGTTAAATAAAAACGAGCACTAGCGCAAGGTCTTATTAATTTTTGTTGTTGTTGAAAATGATGGTGATTTCAATTTGATGTGTATTTATGACTGACCGTTCTAATCACAATTATTAATTTTGTACTCCTCTAAAATTATTTTGACTGCAGTAAAAATACAACGCTAGACACTGTTCCTCACTGTTAAAGATTTTAATATTACTTAACTGTGAATAATAATGACCACAACTATTCTTATATCTTTGAGAATTTGAATGCTTTTTACTCCAGTAAAAATATTTTTAATATTTCAGTGGATTAAAAATAAATAATTGTAAGTAGAACGGCCCACCATAGTCGTTAATATTGTCCAATGAAATAAGTTGGCGCGATAGATAAGCAGGAATTAATGAATGCAATATTTGTACACGTTTTGATTTACGTTTGTTGATTTGAATAACTGCGTGATTCTTTCATTTGAGAATTTTCTATGCTATTTACATCACATTTGAGGTAGGTTCAATATTAGAGTGTATTTTTGAACATTAATTTATTAATGTTATTTACTTTCGGTTTGTCTAATCAACAAATTGTGTATTGCGTGTACAGCACCTGCATGTTAAATATATATATATATATATATATATGTATTTACATTTAACAAACTACTTTTTATAAGGTGAAAAATCATTTTAAAACTTTTTTACTGTTGTTTATGTCAACTTGCTAAATAGTAATTGTCAAGGACTATCTTGCAAGTCGACATGGTTATATTGCATGTTCAAGATGTTGAAATAAAATGGATTACCTGAAAGTTAGTTGAAAAAGAAAGGAAAATAAATTTCTGAACCCAAAAATTCTATTTTGTTAAGCATGTTAAGGGGATATGGTTTCATTTTGTTTTCAAATCCGAATTTCTTAAAACACTGTATTTTACAAGATAAGACTTTCCCTGAACATTTTCTAAAGTAAAAACACAACAAACATTTGGTACTTTCTTGTTTCTCTGTCTTTTTTGCAAATCCAAAGGAGGGGGGGGGGGGCACGTAACCCCTCCCCCCATCTGTATCCACCACTAATTTGTTACATCTATGACGTTAGATATCGTCTTTAAAAAAACAATTTATTCATATGTACAACAGATTATTTAAAAAGATATTAAAACATAATAATCTTGCATGTAGACCTGGGATTTGGTAATTAATATAAATAAATATTAAATCGTAATTAATTTAAAAAATGACATTTTTCCAAATAATTGCAAGTAATTTGAAATTGAACATTTTTTCAATTACTCGTAATTCGATCAATTTAATTAATTACACTTGAGATATACATGTACCAAGAAATTTCAATTCCTTTTAAGTTTCATTTCAAGAGCTTTAATAAGCAAGAGGCCCAAAGGCCTTATAGGTCACCTGAGTATCATGTATTAACTTTCCAACAATTGAATTTGATTCGTGTTTTAAATCAGAGGCCATGGAATTCACAATTTTGAAAGAGGCACCATTCCTTATCATAAATATATACTTACATGTAGCATGCTTACTTTGGTTACTTAATACCCAGAGGTAGATCAGAGTAATAAAGAGAAAATGCATTTCCACTTTATCAGTTGTGCACTCCATCCCACAGGGACCACTGACCCTGGGACCACATCTTTCAAAATGTTGGAAATTTTATAAATTTTATTTCATCATTTTGTTGATTAATACTTAAGTGCACATTTCAAAGCATTAAATTTCTTTTAAACTATGTACCCCCCCCCCCCCAGTACCTCTGTCCCAGGGGCCCAGAATCATTTTGGAAGAGGCACCTTTCTTAGTCATAAATATGTACTAAGATCATTGGCATAATACTCAGGAGCAAAGGAAAAGATTTTCAAAAAAATCATGCATTTTCACTATATAAACATTAGAGACCTGCCCTAACACAATGAGCCCTGAACCAGGGTCCCTGAAATTCAAAAATCTCAAAAAGGAATCCTTCCTCCTCATAACTATGTACATAGTTCATTTGTTTATCAACCAGATGCAGAAAAGAAGATTTTTAACGAATTTATGCATTTTATAAACATAATCAAATGAGCTCCACTCTAACTCCAGAACCCCCATCCAGGGGCCATGAAATTCACAATTTTGGTAGAGGCACTCTTACTCATCATATAACTATGTACTTAGTTAGTTTATTTAATACCCAAAAGCAGATAAGAAGTTTTTCAAAGAAATAATTCATTTTCACTTCATAATCTTTATAGCCCCGCCCTAGCACTAGAACCCCTGACCCTGGGGCCATGAAATTAACACTTTTGGAAAAAAGCAGCCTTATTCAACATATCTATACAATTGATCAGTTTATTTAATTCCCACGAACAGAGAAGGAAAATTTCAAATAATTTATGCATTTTCACTATATAATTTATATCGCCCCGCCCTAACTCCAGAACCCCTGACCCTGGGGCCCTGAGATTCAAAATTTTGGAATAGGCAGCCTTCTTCAACATAGCTATGCATTTGGTAAGTTTATTTAATGCCCATGAACAGAGAAGAAGAATTTCAAAAAATTTATGCATTTTCACTGTATTATCTATATAGCCCCGTCCCAGCACTAGAACCCCTGACCCTAAGGCAATGAAATTGACAATTTTGGAAGAGTCAGTCATTTTAAACTTAGCTATGTACTTGGTTAGTTTATTTAATGCTCAGGAGCAGAGGAAGAATTTCAAAGAAATGATGCATTTTAACTATATAATCTAATTTTCAGATACATGTATATATCTATATCATATATATCTATTTAACCCCTCCCTAGCACTAGAACCCCTGACCCTGGGGCCATGAATTTCACAATTTGGGTAGAGGACTCAATGCTGATTATACAATCTTACCAACTAATTAGGTTGAAATAGGTTCAGTGGTTTCAGAGAAGAAGCTAAAAAGTTCAAATGTTAACGCACGACGAAGGACGAAAACATATAGCAATAGGTCAACTGAGTTTACTCAGATGACCTAAAAAACCAAAAAGGAACGAACATATTCCCATCAAAGTCGTAATTTTTACCCCTTTTTTTGATCTCTTTAAACCTATTTGAAACATCTGTTATAAAAATTCAAAATATGTTTTCAATGTAATAAATGAATTTTATAAAGGCTTACTATACATAAAAATATGATGTTGTCTTATAATAAAAACATACATAAAGTTTATGTTTACCCCTAATTTGTATACATATATGAACTAGAAATATGTTCACAGGACATTAATGCCCCGCCGACGGTATATTAGGAAAGCTAAATGTGTACATTTTGGGAAAGCTGAGATAAAGGTCGAAAAGAGAGGTTAAGGTCACATGAAAGTTCAATGTCAGACTTTTTTGATGCAAATAATTTTATGTTTAAATTATTTTCAAATAAATATTTTTCTGTCAGTCTTATTTGTATCTTTCAGAACACGGAGAACATGTCAGGAAGACAAACACCACAGACAAGACCGAAGGGTACACGTTTCTTTTGAGTTACCAATAGTAGTATAATTTATAAAATTTCCAACAGTGAAAAAACTATTGTAATTTATTAAATAAACGAAGCTCATTCCTCTATGGCACCTGATCCCACCTGTGGTATCAGGGGCGGATCCAGGAATTGAAGTTAGGGGGCGCGCAAGATTTAGGCAGGGGGTCAGGGCTCATGGATTCTAGAGGTTTTGTAGGCTAAAAATGAGGTCTACCGAGTAGACATTTTAAACATTTTCTCGACAAAACTATGTTTTATGCTAACTTTGACAATTTTAGGGGGGGACGTGTTTGCACTGCTTCTCTATTGTATTGTTTTATGGACTTTTGATCTTGCATACTGTTTGTTATCTTCATGTGTTTCCATCACAGGTGCTTGAGGACAGTGTGACAGAATATTAGAAGTGTGGCAAAACTTGTAACCAAAGAGTTTTCTAAAAATGCTCTTCGATTGATAAAAGATCGAATAAAAACCATCCTGATAGAGACTAGAACTGTCTATGTCGCGAAATCCATATTAAAAACTAGTGCTAATTGTAACGGGAACCGTTACAGATGTTCCCCAAACGCTCCCCAACTCCCTTTTGGTGCCATATTCCCTGTAATCTTCATTAAATAAGACAAACTCTGTGCATTTTTGACTTTAACAACGTTTTCCCAGAAGGATACCAATTATCTTCAAATTTTAGCATTGCACCCAAGCGCATGTGAATGCATGTGCGTTATGACCATATCATCTTGTCTACACTATCTATATATTAAAGCATTCAGTCCAAAAGTAATAAAAATCACTCATTCAAGTGTATATCTAATTATACTCGTGCCAAATGCACGCACGTGCGTGCACAAGGTGCACAAGCATGATGACCATACCTTCTTGTAGGAGTTTATTACATCTATCTAAGTTCTAAATCCCATCCTGTTTGGTTGAAAAACAAGGGAGTTAAAGCCATTTCAAGTTTCAACCAATCAGATTGCAGCACACGTGCATGCGCGTGATTTCATAAATTTTTCTATATCATATTTTAGGATATTCTAATGCATGACTATATTTTAAATTTCAAAGAATTTCGTCAAAAAACAAAGGAGATATAGCCATTTAAAGTTTCAGCCAATCAGATTGCAGCACACGCACATGCGCATGCTTTCATGAAAATTCTTATATATCATGCGGTAGATCTTCATAATGTAAGACTATGTTCAAAATTTCAAAGGATTATGACAAGAAACAAGAAAGATATTGAGACTTCAGTTTCAGCCAATCAGAGCAAAGCGCACGTGCATGCGCGTGAGATCTTGCTATTTTGACCATGCTATTTTGTTTATACTACTAATGTATACTTAAATTATGAGTTTCAAAAAATTTCATCAAAAAATAGAAAAGTTACGGCAATATCCCTTAAATTGGTCATTTCAGGTGTTGCACGTGCGCGCTCATGCAAGCACGTGCGCGCAAAATGACCTTCGTTCGGCAACTCTACATAAGATGCCTACTACCTAAAAAGGTTTCACCTAAGTCGGCTGTGTAGTTTACAAGATCACTCGTGGACAAAATTTTCCCAGGAAGAAGAAAAATAATAATAATAATAATAATAATAATAATAATAAGAAACAGAGTAAAAACAATATGTTCCCCAACTTCGTTTGGGGAACATAATAATCGATGCTATCTCACGGTTGCATCGATATGATGTCTAAACTGTGACATCACATCCTACAGATAATTTGTGTTACGGAAAGGTCAGAATATGTTTGTTTGTTTGCTTAAAGTTTTTATTTCGAGAATTTTCACTCATATACGAGTATTGAGGGTTGGGGCGTCTAATCTAGAGTTGCAGAATAAGAAGACTGATTCTTATATAGTGGATCCAAATCAACCGTGAGGCATGGAGTCCGGTCCTACACGCGAGACATCATAAACCGAGGTCCCGTGTCGCAGTAGGTGTTGGCAGGAAAATGATCCCTCATTGCTCAATGATCCCTGAGCACAGTTTAATAGTATAAATTTGCAGCTCTCCATGCCTCAGCAAATGGTGGCGTCTCCATATGAGTGAAAAAATCTGGAGAAGCGCCTAACACAACAAAGAAACAAGGAAACATTTTGAGAAGCAAGAACTTGCCGATGGAGGACTGCTTTAGAGCTTTACTTGGTAGTTCCGGCCTTTGAGAAGTTATGGATATTTTTTCATTCCAACACCAACTGCGACACAGGTCCTTCCGTTGATACGGTCTCACCCATAGAACCGGTCCCCACGTACGTTCTTCAGTGGGATTCGAACCAGGGACATATGTATCAACTCCTTTTTCTCCGGGACTTTACGTAAAAATCACACTTGGACGACTCCTGAAAATATAAAAAAAAAATATGTCCCTCTCTAAACTGTATATATATCTTTATAGGTATAAACTGTATGTATTTCTTTATAATCTGAATGCTTCATATCTTGATTAAAAACTTGAGATATTTTGAGAATATAGTACTAGTATGACATTTAAAACTAGTTATCATACTCCTGTGTAACACGATTGATAAATCGAGTTATGCAATAGTTTGCTATCATTGAAAACTGTTGTGGGTCTGGTGAATCTTACTAGACAAAACCAGTCATATACATGTAGCATATATTAATACAAGAGTTGAAAGATCCAGTTAGGTTCAAGTTACATGTAATTAATTGATTTTTTTTTTTAGAAAAGAGTACCAATTCAGATGAAAGCGGCAATTCAGCTACACCAATAAGGGATTTAAAAAGTATGATTTTTTTTTTTATATTTTATGAAATAAATTGATCATTAAGTATGAGTAAAATGCAATCACAGAGAAAAAAGATGAAAAATCAGTTATTAAAAAAGAATCCTCTCGGAAAAGCTGAAGTGGAAAAATCCCAGAAAGGGTTCGTAACTTCCTGGTCAAATCCATCCTTTGCTTTTCATTCTCATTGTCGTTGTTATAAAGTTTTCCAGAACTACAGAGCAAATTTCACTTTACGTTGGTACAGAATATCCTTGGGTGAAGGGAATTAAATTTGTTTTAAAAAAAGGACCACATCCTCTTTCAAGAGGGATATAAGTTATTATATTGAAAAATAAAAGGCAATATCAATCGCATCTTTTGAAGAACTACTGGACCAGGAAAGATTAAATCTCTTTGAAAGTTTTATAGAATAACGTAGATACATATGTGTTCATATCATGACCCCGAATGGCTTACTTTGGGCCACAACAGGGGTTTAAAGTGTAACGTAGGAATTCATATATATACATGTGTATAATCTTAAGAATTCTACAACGAATAAACAACAGAAATTGAAATAATCCAAAGGTAGTGTAGATAGTGGAAAATCAAGTTTGTTTAAATACTACCTTTCACAGTAATTGTAGGACATGGTATAGTTAACATAAATTCGTGCCCACAAAATAAATTTCGTGGAAACCAAATAAAATTTGTTGGAACAAAATAAAACTTATATGAACGAAATAAAAATTTGTGGCAAAGAATTTTTATTCGTTCCCACGAATTTTTATTGTTTTCACAAATTATATTTTTAAAAAAATCATACCATGTCCTATACCAGCCACCGTGGTCTTTAGATTTTCATAAAAACTGTACATTATCATTTCTAAGGCGATGAAGAGAAGGGAAAATGATGTATCTCCATTTTCATTGGCCATGTAGTGTAGGGCCGCGCCACGAAAATTCCATTTCCATCGAAAGCAATTTTTCCTGAACAGTAGAGTCATTAAGTATTGTTATCTTTCAAAATAGTAAACTGTTAATATTTAAAAGAAAACTCGTTTACATTTATGGTCTGAAACTTGGAAATTTTTTGTTGGAAGGTATATTTCACGATGCTTGATTTCAGAAAGTTAACCTGAAAAATGCCATCTTTTTAACATGGAAAGCACTTCAAGGAAATACTTCTATAATCTTGTACCATAGTATCATATTAATATACAGAAAATACAGTATTAACACAAACTGCACTGTTTCTGTATTTAGGCAAAGCAAAGGTATGCTTTAAAATGAACAGACGCAAAAACGAGTGCATTTGACAAGAAATCCATGAAAAAAAAAAACATTTGGAAACTCTCATAATCTATCATCCAATAGCACATAAAAATCCTATTAATTTTTATGTGTGAATTATGTTTAAGGTATGTAAATAAGATCAAAATTAAGTTATAATTAACTTGTAAAATATAATTTGTTGTTACGTTACACAATTTGTATTCTAACAATGTGACCTTAATTTGTACAAAAACCCACGTGAGTTTAAAAAGTGTGTTCTCCAGAAAATTAAAGGCATGATAGGTTATATAAAAATGGAACTATACCTCAAGTTTAGTATAGATTCAACCTTGTTCTAGCGCTAAACCTCCTTTGTTAATTGTTGGGCTACTACAGAAGATTAAAGACTGAACATCAAAATTAGGATTACATGTATTCATGCATACATGTAGACGGAAATATCCTTTAGTATTGAAGATAAAAGTTGGTTAAATTATTCAAATCATGCCCCTTTTACCTATTTCCCCCAGGGGAATCGGGGTAGTATGTGTTAGACCATGTGCTTTTTTCAGCATCATACACTAAAACTGAACTTAATATGAAAAGCTCCTTTATGGGGAGATATGTAAAACATAAAGTAGAGTTACCTATCTTGACATGTTACACATACGTAAACTAACAATTTTTTAAAACTTTTCTCTTTTTGGGTAAAGAAAATAAAATGATAGATATGAAATTAATTGTTTCTGATTGTAAGATAAACAGTAACATTGTCTTAACCACAAAAGTCTGGCAACATCCGTCCTGTTTGCAAAATATCCAAAACACAAACCATTTGCTCCTGCTTTTGTTAGACAATTAGCGAGCTGTTTTGCCAGAGTACCACTAAATTTTTTTCACTTCTTTTTGAATGACTTCTCCTGTCAATGCCGCAATATCAATTTGCTCTTATCCTCCAAAAGTTTTGTTGAATACACTCTTATTGTCTACAAATGCATAAATCGCGATGGATTTAGTGGGAACTCTAAAATTTTCCTCCAACATGTGTCGATAATAAAAACTTGCCTTCAGTCTTTCCTCTAGACTAGGTGCCTCTGCTGCGAGAGTGGAACAGACAACTCTTCTGATCTTTATAGCCTGCCAGAAAAGGGGACATTATTTACCATGTTTGTCCATAATCCAGATGATAACCCCCTGCGTACTTCCAGCTCCGTCAATAATGTTTCTCAATGATGCATCAGTAAATGTCATTATCTTTAGTGATGCAAGATCTAACGCTGGAAATCTCAGGATACTTTTGAAGTCCTTAAGCCGGTTAATGGTTTTTGTTGCTCTGATTAAGTCTGTCATGGTTCCACTTCCTAGCTTAGTGCTCATATCTTTCATTTCAAATGCAAAGTCTGGTCTTGATCCTCGCACTGCCCAGTTGATCTGCCCTATGATTTGTCTGTATGCAGTTTTTTCTTCATCACTTAATTGTCTTTTCTTCTGACTTGCTTGCAGTGGGTCAATCACTGTACTTCTCCATGGTATTAGTGTGATCCAGTACTATCCCATCGTCGGTAACCCACAGGTGATTCCCATCGATGCTCTCTATCATCACGTTTGAGGGAGCTTGCGGACTAAAAAACCCGTGGTTTGCGACGTGATGGTACTATCCCATCTTAATATAGAAACCAGTATAATGAAATTGGCGTTCGGCAACTTTTCCTGCTGAAAATCTCTCCCTAAACTTGCAAATTTGTTTCTCAAAAATCTCATCCCCGGCATGGAGAAAATCGTCCACATGAGAACAAATTATTCCTTGTAGATTTCCGTCCTTTCTTTAGTAGAAGAGAGCTTGGTCTACACTAAACTTTTCGAAGCCAAGTTTGTCAAGTTCTTCTAGTCCATATAGACAGTGTTTCAACTTCTATATCATTCCGGCAGGTGTGATACTTTCCTTTGGCGGTTGAAGATAAACATCTCTTTCAAGTTTCTTTCTTTGCAAAAAGGCTGACTTTTTGTCTGTGGTTTTGACATCCCATAATTAACTTGCCGTTAGAGTCAAAAATATTTTAAGGCCACCTTTTCAAACCGTCGGACTGGGGATGCAAATATCCTTTTCAAACTCATGAGCTACAAGTCTTGCTCTTACTGTCCTTCTTTTGATGTCACAAACCCTCTGATAGATAGTCTATGCTGTTCTTCATCCAGAACTTCAGTGTATGTGTCAAAATTCTTTATTTTCTCTAATTCATTTTGCTTTGCTAGAGATATAGTCTCACAGCTAGTATTCTCGCGTGTTGTAGAATTGTCACTATCATATGTTTGGTTGACTCTCTCCCAAGGAAGTCTACATAAGTACATTTGTATATGCTTTTCTCTTGATCACTCTCAAGATCTTTAACGTTATACCAATTTCTGTTATTTCCTGAAGTTTTGCCTGCTCTGTTGAGAACTGTTGCTTCTATCCAATTATCATCCTCCAATCCCATTTTGTACTGAATTTTGTCATTTGCTAACAGTGCAGGTTTGGGAGGTTGATTTGAGTTCTGGTCAACTTTTCTCTTAGATAGGTATTCAGTGACAGCACTTCAAGCTGCACTTCACTTATTTCCTCTTGATGTTGTGTTTTCTCTTGATTAGTGCCCGTATGATTAATACCCGTAGTTTCTGCATCTGTTATTTTCTGTAACCTGTTAGGTGACACTCGGAAAAAAACACCACCATGACGAACAAAGCAACTGCTATCTTGAAAAACAACTCTTCCGGGTCCAAGGCATCTGTCTCTACCCTCACGTTTGTATTACACCATATCACCATTCTCACAGGATTCTTCGGAAGCTCTTACTTTATTTAACAATGCCCGTCTGATTCTCTCATTAGCCTCAGCCTCTATGTAGGCTCGTCTAGTGCTGTGCAGTAAATTAAGATACAGTAAAATTCGTTTAGTACGAACACGGATACAGCGAATGTGAAAGCTATGTGAATTTAACGTATTCCTTATACAGATATAACGAATTATGGATATAGCGAAGTAATTTTATAGGTCCCAGTGACTTAACCGAGTTAAACTGTATGTAGCAAATGTCTCGCTCATCGTACGGCCCTCAAGCGAAGCCATCATGATGTTTAAGAATTTGGGGTTCTATCCAAATACAAGCTAGTGATAACTAAACCAATTCCACATTTGCAGGGCATTTCTTGCCATACTTGCCCATCATAACAAGCTCTGTTCACTTACATCTATGAGTCGTACTCTAGTTTTCTGAGCATCATCTCACCTGCAGAAGTACAAACTTTGACATTCAGAATGGATGCAACTTCTCGAATTTCCTCCGAGTTAAAATCCCCTCCACTATCTGTCTTTATTGCGCCCATGATACCAACAAACTGTAAATGTATCATATTTAGCGTGTACGATATTTGGCGGAAATTGAGTTTTGAACAAGTTAGCGGAGATTTAATTCAGCGTATTTCTTATCGTTCTTATTTATGTATATAAGTATAAAACATTTAGCTTTGTACTTGAATTAGCGGAAGTGTATTCCCGCCAAAAGCGATAAAAAGAATACACAGCCAAATGTAATACGTTTACAGTATACCAATCATATGAGACATGGTATTCTCAATAACATCGGTTGTCTTTTTCCTCTGAATAAAAACTGACACAGTGTATCTAGACCACATGTTAACCATGTGCAGTATCTATTTTCCTCTCCAGTACTTCAGATCCATAGCTACCTTCTCATTAAACTGAG